GCAGGGGGCTCCGGGGCTGCGCCAGTCTCCCCTCCACAAACACCCCAGGAGAGAGAGGACCCCCCCCGCCATGCCCCCATGGTGAGATGAGGAGGTGAAGGCAGAAGCAGCGCAGCCCAACCGGGCACAGCACTGGGAGATGTGCTGCTGGGGAAGGGCAGGACCCTCCCGGGACACCACAGGGCACCCGCTGCCCCCCGCCAGCCCCACGTCCCCAGGGCCACGCGGCTCAGCCCCGCCAGCCGGCACTGTCTTCCCCGGGACGCATGAGGCCCTGGCGCAGCGAGACAAAACGGCGCGCTGCCCTGCGGGGCCAGGCCTGGCAGGAACAGTTTATTGGCAGCCCCAGTACAAAGAGCTTGGGTACGTGCGAGTGAGGAAGCGACGATGCAAATCCAGCGCAGCCCGGCTTGGCAGCTCCGACCGGCAGCGGGCACGAGTGAGCCCGGCCCCGCATACCAAGGTCCCTCCAGCTCCACCAGGATGCCATAGGGGCCCCACGGGGCCAGGCCTCCCCATCTGGTGAGACGAACCCGCAGCATCGGCAGCTGGACCCTCAGCAGAGCACGCTGGGGCTCTTCTCGCCCACCGCAGTGGGCCACAGTCAGTGCTGGAGAGCCAGTCCACGACATCCCAGCTCTGAGGTGCAGGGCAGTGCTGCAGCCGCACACACTGCCGCTTCTCCTGGCACGGGACTGTCCCAGCTCTACCCCACAGCAGAGCCTGGCTGCGGCCAGCGACTCCTCGGCCACTGCTGCAGCCCTATTTGTGCGTGTCGCAGGCCAGCTCCTGGAGCTGTGATGTTATTCTCGCATAAAACCGAAGTCTGCTTCCAGACGTAGCAGCAGCAGAGAAAAAGCTTAAAAACATGAACCCCGAATGCCGAACACCAACACCCAGAGCCGCGCCGAGCAGCTTTGTTTGCTGGATCTGGCTCCCCGGATGCTCAGCGTGGACAGTAACAGACTTGAGCAGAGCCCGCTCGGCTCGGCCACTGCCTATTTGTGCGTGTCGCAGGCCAGCTCCTGGAGCTGTGAGCTGTGATTCGCATAAAACCGAAGTCTGCTTCCAGACGTAGCAGCAGCAGAGAAAAAGCTTAAAAACATGAACCCCGAATGCCGAACACCAACACCCAGAGCCGTGCCGAGCAGCTTTGTTTGCTGGATCTGGCTCCCCGGATGCTCAGCGTGGACAGTAACAGACTTGAGCAGAGCCCGCTCGGCTTGTGTGGTTCACCAGTCCGCAAGTTACCTGGAAAACGCTAATAAATAACAGCCGGGTGCCGGGCAAGGGTGCTGCAGGCATCACCGCAGGAGAGGGGCGAGCAAGGACGAAACACAGAGGCCAGCGAGGGGACTGGGGCTGCGATCACTCACCCGACACGGGCTTCAGAATGGAAACACTGTATTGACAGACTTTACAAAAATTATTACAAAACACGATCACGAACCAGCAGCTGACAATACACAGCGGAAGAGACACCTTCTCGCCCACCGCAGTGGGCCACAGTCAGTGCTGGAGAGCCAGTCCACGACATCCCAGCTCTGAGGTGCAGGGCAGTGCTGCAGCCGCACACACTGCCGCTTCTCCTGGCACGGGACTGTCCCAGCTCTACCCCACAGCAGAGCCTGGCTGCGGCCAGCGACTCCTCGGCCACTGCTGCAGCCCTATTTGTGCGTGTCGCAGGCCAGCTCCTGGAGCTGTGATGTTATTCTCGCATAAAACCGAAGTCTGCTTCCAGACGTAGCAGCAGCAGAGAAAAAGCTTAAAAACATGAACCCCGAATGCCGAACACCAACACCCAGAGCCGCGCCGAGCAGCTTTGTTTGCTGGATCTGGCTCCCCGGATGCTCAGCGTGGACAGTAACAGACTTGAGCAGAGCCCGCTCGGCTTGTGTGGTTCACCAGTCCCGCAAGTTACCTGGAAAACGCTAATAAATAACAGCCGGGTGCCGGGCAAGGGTGCTGCAGGCATCACCGCAGGAGAGGGGCGAGCAAGGACGAAACACAGAGGCCAGCGAGGGGACTGGGGCTGCGATCACTCACCCGACACGGGCTTCAGAATGGAAACACTGTATTGACAGACTTTACAAAAATTATTACAAAACACGATCACGAACCAGCAGCTGACAATACACAGCGGAAGAGACACCACTTACAGCCACCTCAGAACAACACCAATTAGCTCCGAGAACCCAACCAATATTTACACAGACGTCTGAAAAACTCCGGTCAGTTATCTCATACATTTAAGTGTTTTAGATCAACTGTGAAATATAGTGCCACACATTTCCTTGTAGTATAATAATAATAATAATAATTAATAATAATAATAATAATAATAATATACTACTTCTAGATTAACTAAAAACCAAACAGCTCTTTACAGGGGTTAGGAGAAGTTGCTTTCACTCGATTGACTTACCTGAGTATGAGACCAAACCCAGTTAAAAAATAATAATAAAATCACCTTCATTGACAGGAGTTTGTGTGACGGACCAGCGGCTCCGTTCCCTTGGGCCAGAGGGAAACTACAGCCCGACTGGTGCCAGTAACATCCTTCGAAAGAACAGAGACGTGTCCTCCTCGGGTGAATTACCCGACCGCGCCTCCACACGCTGCCCTTCCCGACTCCTCCTGCTCCAATGTCCTCAGCCCCTTCTGCGGGTCCTTTCCTCCTGCACCCACTTTTTCTCACCTTGCTCTTTGCTGCTCTCTCCTCTCTGCTTTTTTGCCTTCGACAAATCCTGCGTCGTGCCCCTAACCACGTCTCTGCCTCGCCTCTCTTCCCTTCATCCCAGCCCTGGCCTCGCAGCACGGGGCTGCCGTTCGAGGTGCGGCAACACAATGGGAGCGGGTGGCCAGTTGCCTGGGAGCGGCACCTTCCTTCCCTCCCTCCCTCCCTCGCGCTTCCAGCCTTGCGGTGAAACGAGTGGAAAAAAGAAAGCGAAAGCTTGTCACTCCTGAATATGCACAAAGATAGGTGGGGAAACACCTGCTAAATACGGACCCCAGAGAATCGCTCGGGATTATTCTCTACAGGCAAAATCCAAACCTGCGTAGGGGACAACTAGTACAAGGCCTACGCCACTATGGAAGTCCCATGTAACCCCGCGGGGTCAAAGAGGTGCCTAGGCCGTCCGATCAGAGTTTTTAAGAGGAATTCCTTTGATGCTTCAACAAAGCGGGCTTTGTAGCATGACCACATGGATTAGCTGCGATACAAGTTCACCTCCCATCATGCTGCACGTCCACCTGCTAGACCGTTATCGTAACCGCGAGCCCTTCTGCCCCGGCCTCCCACCGCAGCGCTACTGCTTAGTTTCTTTTTTCACGCAGAAATGGCCGGTTTGAGTTGCCGACTCCAGGTTGTGCTGCGAATCCTCCATGGGCCGGGGGTTGCGGGAGTGGATTTTCTGGTGACAATTCAGAGACTCTTTGTAGCGGAAGTGCTTCCCGCAGACGGGACACTGGTAGGGGGTCTCCCCGGTGTGGACCCGCCAGTGCTTGAGCAGGTGGTCCCGCCGGATGAAGCTCTTCCCGCACTCGGTGCACTGGTACGGCCTCTCCCCGGTGTGGATGCGCTGATGGCGGATGGCTTTGGAGAGGTCTCGGAAGTCCTTCCCGCAGTAGGTGCACGTCAGCGGCCCGTCACCCTTCCCCGTATGGAGCTTCTGGTGCAAGATAAGGCTCACTTCCAGGCTGAAGCTCTCCTTGCACTGGGAGCAGGTGTACGGTCTCTCCACCATGTTGTTCACCTGGTGCCTGACAAAGCCGTACTTGAAACCAGAGCTCTTCTCCCCATCGGGGCGCTTGGACGGTTTGGAGCGGGAGGGCCCTTGGGCTTTCGTAGGCGTTGTTTTGGATTTCTGCCTGAAGCTTTCTCCTTGCTCCAGGGAAGTGCAGGCTTCCTCGCTGGCGTGCGCTTTCTGATGGGTGGCAAAGAGCTGCTTGTCCAGGAAGCTCTCCCCACACTCGCAGCAGATGTACGGCCCCTCTACTGCAGCCGCGTCCTCAGGAGCGTCCTTCTTGGCCAAGTCTCTCCCACGGCGAGCGGAGCGCCTCAGCCCGTTGCCCGTCGCGGTTCTCTGCTGCGGGGTCGATCCGCTCCGGCTCTTGCTACTTGGCTTTATCTCTTCCTCTGGGCTTGAGAAAACCTCTTCCCACTTTCCTGCCAATGAGCTAGGAAGCTCAAGGCTTTCGGGACCTTCCTCATCACACTGCTGTTCATCTGGCAGAGCAGAGACATTCATGTCATTTCTTTGAGATAAGAACTGCCTCGTTATTTAGACCGCAGTTCTCTCGGGGCAGAGGTGATCTCTGCTTTGCACACTCAGGACAGTACCTGGCACTACGGGGTTGCAAGTCCTGTACTTGCAGTACTGGAATACAAACAAAGCCAAAGTATTTTGACTTAGAATCACAGAATCACAGAATTGTTTAGGTTGGAAAAGACCTTTAAGATCATCGAGTCCAACCGTTAACCCAGCACTGCCAAGTCCACCACTAAACCATGTCCCTCAGCGTCTCATCTACACATCTTTTAAAGACCTCCAGGGATGGTGTCTCCACCACTCCCCTGGGCAGCTTGTTCCAATGCTTGACAACCCTTTCAATGAAGAAATTTTTCCTTACATCCAATCTAAACCTCCCCTGGCGCAACTTGAGGCCGTTTCCTCTCGTCCTGTCGCTTGTTCCTTGGGAGAAGAGACCGACCCCCACCTCGCTACAACCTCCTTTCAGGGAGTTGTAGAGAGCGATGAGGTCTCCCCTGAACCTCCTCCTCTCCAGACTGAACAACCCCAGTTTCCTCAGCCGCTCCTCAGCAGACTTGTTCTCCAGACCCCTCACCAGCCTCGTTGCCCTTCTCTGGACACGCTCCAGCACCTCGACGTCCTTCTTGTCGTGAGGGGCCCAAAACTGAACACAGTATTCGAGGTGCGGCCTCACCAGGGCCGAGTACAGGGGCACGATCACTTCCCTGCTCCTGCTGGCCACACTATTGCTGATACAGGCCAGGATGCCATTGGCCTTCTTGGCCACCTGGGCACACTGCCAGCTCATGTTTAGCTGGTTGTCGACCAGCACCCCCGGGTCCTTTTCCGACAGGCAGCTTTCCAGCCACTCTTCCCCAAGCCTGTAGCGCTGCATGGGGTTGTTGTGGCTGAAGTGCAGGACCCGGCACTTGGCCTTGTTGAATCTCATACAGTTGGCCTGGGCCCATCGATCCAGCCTGTCCAGGTCCCTCTGCAGAGCCTTCCTACCCTCGAGCAGATCACTGCTCCCACCCAACTTGGTGTCGCCTGCAAACTTACTGAGGGTGCACTCGATCCCCTCATCCAGATCATTGATAAAGACTTCTTGGGAAAGTTCAGACAGTACAGTGACGAGATCTCTATATATAACTAGACAAAGGGAAAAAGCGTGTTCCTCAGCAGGAGGTGAAGCAGAACAGGTCTTTGAGAACATGTGGTTTAGGATAAAGGCAAAAAAAAATTGAGGGAAAGGGAATAAAACCTCTTCCTTCTGGGCTTGTACAGTGCCTGGGGCCGAAGGATCTCCCATGGTGTAAGTGGTAACTCAAAGCAACCACCAAGGACCCTGGCAAACGGAGGATGAAAAGAGCCCAGAGGATCTGGGGATGTGGAGAAGAGGGGCTGAAAAAACCACAGGTTTCTGCAGAGCACGAGAAGGTAAAGCTGTGCCGAACATTTGCGTGCCCAGAGAAGACTGCTCGGCACTCCCTACCACAGGGCTCTTCATCTGCTCGTCACTTTGCCAGACATCTAAACGTGCGGCTTGAAAACGGGCCGCTTTGTTTGCATCAGGCTGAAATTCTGGAAAAGCATCACCCGGAACAGCTGAGCTGCTTCTGAGAAATGAGGCCGGGAAGCCAAAAGCACATCCTAGCAAGGGATGCTTCCTGAAGCGGCTCATGTGTCCCCATGCTTCAGAGCAGGGACCTGGAGCGATGGGGTGGTGACAAGGACACACCTTTTGCTGCGCCACAAGAAGGCTCACCTTTGGCTGACAGAGAAAGCTGTGAAAAATATCACTTTACATGTTTGTGGAAAAGACCTTTTAAGAGCTTTGTTGCTAACGCCATCGAAGCTTGCCTGCACTACGCATGCTCCTGCTCATCTCCACTTCGAGGCTGACCAAACACGCTACCTTGCCGAGTGATGCGACACCGTACAGGTGATCTGCACCCCCTAGCCAGCCCACAGCTGCTTTTACAGCCTGCTGCTCATGTACCGCAGCTTCTTCTGCACGCGTGCTATCCATCTGCCTCGGCTGCCGTCCAGCTCCCACGCTGACCCTTGAGGCAAGCCCGGCAGAGACCACAGCGAAGGCAGGATCTCACCCCGGGCAATCCCCAGCAAGTGCCAAGAGCCTGAGCCCGCCTCTCTCTCCCCCTCTGTGCAGCGCTCGGCGAAGCTCTGCGCTTCTAACTCACATGTACTAGGGACGTCCATGCTTTCCTCTTCTTCAGAGCCCTCGTGGCTTTCAGCCAGAGTCTCTTCGTATTTACTCCACGAGCTGTCATCGGGACCAGGAAAGGAAAACTCTGTGCACAGGAGAAAGAACGACAGGAGTTTACGCTCACGCCTCCCAGCTGCTTTACAGAGGATTTCAGAAGAGATGGCCGCACCGGGTAAGAGCCGACTAGGAAAGCAAAGTCACCCCTGTACCCAAGGGCAGAGCTGGCAAAACTCAACAGCAGAGACAAGTGGAAGAGCGTAGGCGGGCAGTGGCAGCCACGTGTCTGCTTTCCACCTCCCCACTGAGTCCTAGGAACCTTATGGCTCACCGGTGCTGGGGTCTGTAGGGGTTTCTCCTCCCTCAGAGTCATCCTGATCCTCCGCGTTGGGATCCTCTCCTTGCTCAATCCGTGACAGGAGGTCAGGCTTTGAAATGGCAGCATCTGCAGGTAAAAAGAGGATCAGAATGTTTCCTTTGTCCTCGCGGGAGAGAGACTCTCAAACCTTCGCCCACCAACCTTCCTTCGCTGCTGGGGATGACGGGTAATGGAAAGAGAGGCTTAAGAAGATGCTCTCACACATCTGCACCGCTCACCTTGTCTGGGCCCTGGGAACATGAGCGGATTGCAGGAGCACACTCTGCTCAGGTGAGGAGCACCTCCCAGCCTGCAGCGTGAGGAGGAGAATAAGAAAATGCATCTGTGCTTACCTCCAGGCTTCCTTTCTTCTCCTCTCTGCTAAGGTCCGCGGATCCATTACAATGGGGACTTCAGCTCGGGGACAGCACCAGAGCTGTCAGCCAGCGGCAGCAGGGGAAGTGCCCTCCCCATGCGGATCCCTCCAGCCAGGACCGCTCCATCCTACTCGTCCGAGTCACAGGCTGCTTGCGGATTTTGGCGGGGGAAAGGGGACAATCACAACCTCTCCTAGGATGGAGAGCGGAAAACTTCATTTCCAAACAAGTGTGAGTCTCTGGGTATTAATTTCCACTGCTGCTCTGGTGGATCCGTTTGCCTTATACGAGGGCCAAACCCCTAAACCTCATTACTCAAAGGAAACCTTCAGATGAAGCACAGATACATTTTTCTAAGCTCCAGGCTCAGATCCACAGATCCCCTTCAGCGGGACTGTTACGTTCCTGCGCCTCTAGAGTAGGACGCAGGATTGGTTTTTAAACAGGAGAATGGGGGGCGGTATTTATCCTTCACCTTTTTCCCTTGCGCACAGGGGCTGCAGAAGACCTCTGTCCAAAAAAATAAAGGAAGAAAGGGGGGAAAAAAAAGGACAAAAGGCCTGGATCACCCAGAGTTGGACGGGAGGTGAGCCTGCACACCAGTGGCCTCAGCACAGGGAGGAGATGCCTGTCTACCAGGGACTGCGTCTGCACTCCCGCCCACCGTACACGGACGTCCAGCCAAGGCAAGGTCATTTCTCAGAACACACGTAGGTGCTCATGAGGGCAACATGTCCCCCAGGGGGGAGCAGGGGGATTCCCAGATTCCCCAGAGGGAATCCCCGCAGCTGGGACTGGAAGGAGCGAGCAGAGCACGTTTGTTTAGTTGTGAACGCACTGCCCTGAGCTGCTGGAGGGGAAAGCAGAAGGCAGAGCTCGCCTTCGCCTGCTGCTTCTCCCCAGCTCTACCCCTGGCAATACAGGAGCAGATACAGCAACAGCTTGTGCAAGAAACGTTCCCCGGGATGAGGCTGGGGTCAGACAGAACACCAAGGCAGGCAGCTCTCCTCCCCTACGAAAGGCTCTGCAGCAGAAGGACTGATCGCCCACAAAAAGGGCTGGAAGGAGCCTCAGAGGCAGAGCACCCCTCTGCTGCCCTAAGTGGCGAGCGGGCTGATGCACCCAGCGCGGTGGATCTGTGGACCTTTGCGTGACAAAGAAACTCCCCTCTTCCCCATCTTTACTTGGCTCGAGTGTCCTCTCGCTTCCCCTCCTCCTCACGACCCGGGTGCTCGCTCGGCTCCTACCGGCCACAGAGACCGTCAGGGAAAGGCAGTCACTGCAGCGATGCTCGTGACGTCCATCCACCGCTAAACTGAACTGGTGAGGACGGAACTAATTGCCAGGGCTGCTGTCGAAAGCCGGCCTAACGCGTTCCCAGACCAGCACACCATCCACCCTCCCCGATCCTGCCAGGCACAGCGGTGCTTCCATCCGCCAGGCCCCGGGAAAACCTGGCACATCAGAAGGCTCAGCCCGTCTTTACCCATCGAGATGACGGCCTCGTAGTTGCCTTTCATGATATGCCTGTAAAGCTCCTTCTGCCACTCGTTCAAGCTCTTCCACTCCTCCTCAGAGAAGTTAAACGACGCATCGTTGAACGCCACAGGGACCTGCAATTAGAAGCATCGTACGCTCAAGACGTTTTGCTTCTAGTTAAAGAAAACAGCCGGGGAAATTTTCTCACTCAAACCCCTCAAGCACCACACAGGGCAGTTCCACGCAGCAACGCCCGCTCCTTCCCACACGCCTCGCTCGGCCCCTGTGCCTGGCTCAGGCAGC